ATAATAATAATAATAATAATAAATTGTTTTAGTTTTAGGGCCAAAAAAAAAAAAAAAAGGAGGGTTGCCCTAAATCAAAATTCCTTCACCAGTGCCTGCTGATTCAATTCCGACCTTTTTACAGCAATGGAGGAAAAGGAAAGAAAAACTTTACAGAGGAAAAGGTGAAAAACCATCCATCATCATAATGCAGAGGAAGGTGCTTTTCCATTTTCATGTAAGAGTTCACTCACATCAATGTAAAATAGGTCTATTGAAAAGCCGAAGAAAAGTTCGATATCTAAATATTTTTGTAGATTTATTGTCGAGGACAAGAACTATTTATTAGAGACGAGCTAAAATGCCAATGTTGCGTTGTTCCACTCTAATCATGGTGTAAGTTTAGTACTCGAGTATGGAAGTTAGGAGACCACTACTACGCTATTACCATTTTGAAAGCTTGAGATAAGAAAATGAATGATATCAACACGTTCTCAAAGATTTATTGTCGATGACATGCATTGCCTCTTCTTGGAGATAAGTTAGATCCTGACATGTCTCCTTGTTACACTAAGAAAATCAAGTCTATTTCATGTTTGACAAGACCAAATCACTTCTTGTTTTACCGCTTAATGTCACTTAAAAGGTGAGTTGAATATATGAGCGAGACTATTATGTTCTCACGAGACAATATCAAAAGTCAGTCTCATTTTAGTTGTGATGTTCATTGTGCATTCTGTTTTCGGAGGTGAAGGCTTGAGCCGGGCAATCGGGAGCATCGAGCTTTTAGCTATGGAAATTTAACTAAGTAGCTTGAAATTTTTTAGTTAATTGGCACATCTTTAAATCATTTGAGATAATTAATGATTAATGTTCTTTCTATTAAATAAATCAATGTATGACAAATTTCTCATACCCCTTTAGTAATTTATCATGAACGACGATGCTTAATAATGAATATTACATACAATCTCAACTCTCAAGGAAGTTCGATGAAGGTATCCCTCTTGTTAAGAGGTGAAGAGATTCTCCGATAGGCGATCAATAATAATCTATGAAGTAATCGTCTATAACTAATCAGAAGGCTTTTCATATAACCAAAAGAACCGACACGTTAACAATAAAGAAAAAAGAGGATATTCATGTACAATTATCCTTTCCATGATAAATCAATGTCCCAAGTAGGACCAAATGGTCCTTAAAGACAGCAAAAACTAGCTGCTACCATGTGCTTCATGTCCACCTCCTACGCATATATTGATTGTTATTTCTGAATCCTCAGACACAATTGTAAGGCCTCAAAAATGTTAAAATAAGTTTTATTATTTTAGTATGGGGCCCCAATGACATAGACAAGCAATGGAGTGATATGCCCTCGTGAGAAGGGCAGAGGAGAGAGTGTCTTCTTATTTGTTGGCAACATCCACATGCCCCTTAATGTGATTATATGCAGTAGGCCATGAACCTGTTTTCTCAAGCAAAAGTCATTTGAATCCAAGAAATACATTAACACCATATCAAGTTTAAACCAAGTAGTGCTAAATTATGACTTCTCACATAAAAGAGTGAAAATTATAAAGGGATGAGCAAAATGCGTAAAATCTCTTGATGTTGGTAGAAGCACGTAACTGTGGCCGAAGACAAAGGCAACCCTACAAAATAGCACACCTAACACTTGGGTTACCTAGCCGAAGCTCTTCAACATTCAAGAACACTGTCAATCTTCCTTATTGAGCCACATCAGTTACCACGTTTCAATTCTTAATTGGTGCAGAATGTCATGCCCAATTGGATGAGATCCCACTTAGTAGAGCAAGGAAATTCATCCTCAACAAAAATGATAATGATGGATAATGTTTTTTCTTGGCAAATCTCAGCCAATTAAACTATTCCCCCAAGAGGGTTCAAACACCAAGTTACCAAATTTTGATCACACACACATTTTTTACATAGCCACTGAAGTGTAATAGAGATTTGTCTTGCCCGATCAAAATCTAGCATCATATGCATATGAAAACCATGTTCATTTAGATAACTGTTATAGTGAGCCACAACAGAATGAATAAAACCAAGAGTGTACCTTGAAAATAAACTGCAATAATCATACAGAACAAACTTATCCGATATAAAGGCGCACAGCTCAAAAAATGTTCTATCGAGCCAGGGCAGTCAATCAACATACAAAGTGATCAAATTCTTTTCAGAATTTTATTTGACTTGGACATCGAAGTTGTGATGCCAGTTCCATCATCAACAAATCCTGTAACTATAAAAATCCAATTTTCAATGCATGCCCCACTGAAAATATTGTCCAAATCTTCTCAACAATGTATATGAGTAGAGAATATGCACGGTTCATAACTTAAACTAAAACTAATTTTGATAAGTAAATGCCTCGGTAACAAAATTCTGAAGCATTTCATCTAGATTAAAAGGTTTAACTAAACTGCATTTTCATCTTTAGCATAATACCTACATATTTTCAGTAGAAAGATTCATAAACTTGCTAGAGTTCTAAGCAGGTTAGGTAAATACCAAAATTCTAAGCAGTTTAGTTAACGTTGTTAGGATCTTTTGATCAAATTCTATCGAGTAGTGATCATCAGTAACCAAAGAATGACTCAGGCAATATCTTTATAATGGGCTCACTAAAAAATTACTGAAAAAACTGGTTAAAGAACCATTTTTATTTTATTTCAAAGATACTTACGAAAATATTGAAATAGTAACGATATTCTGGATGTATGAAACTATGTCTATCATATGTACACAGAAATTTCAAAGACTAGTGCATGAAATAAAAAAATATAGTGAACATAATCAAAGGAATTTCTTCTGAAAGAGGCGGATCATTTTATAGTAGACAAAAATAATATTAAACCTAGAGAGTGAGTTAATGTAGTTATACTATCCATAAACACTTGAAGATATACAGGACAAGAATAACAAATAAGGAATTAACTTAATTAAATAGGGTGACTTTTTTTTCTTAGATGTCCGGAGTGGTTTTACAAATACTGAAATTTTGCAGCATCCTCTAAAGACCATGGCGATAAAGTTGCTCAACAACGACAACAAACAGAGTCTTACTCCTAACAAATTTAAGGTCAGATAAAAGAATCTTTTTTTTACCACCTAGTTCAGTTCATTACTACACCCCCTGCAAGAGGCAACTATATATTTTTCAACCATGTCTAAGTATGTGTCAGTCTACCTCTCCCACTTTTGTTATGTTCTGCTGAGATCCCTAATGGTAAAGGTTTCCAACAGAATGCAATAAATTCCCTAGAACAGTAGTAAAGTGATGGATCAGGTCAATGTAATAAAAAAAAAATTGTGAATAATTATGTATTCCAAAATTTCTAGCTCAAAGCCAGTATACAAAATCAAACAGGAGCAATAATTTCTCTCCAATTAAATCAAATTCGCATTAAGCAGTGAACAGGAAGATATCGATTGTACTGATGACATATGGCGACAAGGGAGGTGTTAGATGCAGTTATCCTTGTGACCTGCAGGATAGTGCAAAGAGTGATTGTGACCTGAATCTGAGGGCTCCATTTCTGGTCTCTTGGACAATATACTAGATTTGACACAAAAGCCAGTACTCTAGAACCTGCAAAGATGAAGTAAAATGAAATGAAATTTTTTATCAAAAAAGTAAATTGGTAATGATGAGGTGACTAGCATGCCATGCTTACCTTGTGAAACCTCTTGTTATATCATTCTTCATCTATCAACAAGTGCAACTGTTTTCTGAACGTAGAAACTTTACTCGCTTCAACGGCCATCACTAAACCTGTAAACTGGTAACTTTTAAGCTGCAGAGATATGGCAGTGTCAAAGGAAGCAAGAAATTGTTCATTACGTAAAAACTTTGTAAACTTTGTATTATTGCTTTTAGTATTGTCAGAATAAGGCAAGCGGAAGGAAGATGTACATGAAAGAGGACAAATAAATGTAACTAATAGAATATGAAGTTTACAATGTTCAAAATAGAAATTGGATGCAGAAGGTTGTAACAAGATGGAAAAAGCAGAGTGGAAAATTTTCATAGCAAATGTTTGCCAATTATAAAACTGGAAGAATAATGATAACAAAAGCTTTCTAGTTTCTAGTGACATGAAATACCGGGAATAAAAGAATGAGTGAGTACAACTAAGTCTTCAGGGGATATTTCTTGATTCAAACTAGGATTGCTACACAAATATCTTCTCCTCTATATCACTTTTTATGCACGATTCAGCAAAACATTGCATTTTTAATTATCATAAGCTGCAATGCTAGAACTTGCCTCATTTGTTGTAACCTGCTGAGCAGGCATGCTGAGCAGGCAAGGCAAAGCTGAAGGACCACGAGCTAAGCTGAAGAAGCAATTAGAGGAAAAGTCAGGAACCTGAGGTTAATATACAACATTGACAGAAGATTAAAACTCCAGTACCTTGTGGAAAACTTCATCTTCAGGTTTGATGTACATTATAGCTTCATCTTGACTTCGACTTGGCCCTTTAATCTGATCTACACTCTTATGCTACAGGTATGCATCAAGAAAAGGAATAATTATTAGACAATGCAGACTCTGGTTCAAATTCTAGCAATCATATACGATATATTGAACTATTACAACAGCATACCTTGTATATTTTACTAATAATTAAGTAAAATTTGAAGCGAAAAGAACTCTGAAGCTCCTCTGTAGGCTTTGACAAGTAAAAAACAATACATTATTTAACTACAAGTATCAGCTGCACAAGCAGCCCAACACGGAACGGAAGTCAGCTTGAGCGTGCTAATAAAGAGAATTATGTCATCTAACCTCATCTTCTGTTGCCCATGAGACTTCATCAAAGAGAGCATCATAAAGTGGTGGCAATAGCTGGGGAGGAAGATTTACAACACGCTGAGAAACCACAAGACCAACATCCCTGGCATGCTCTCCCATAAGTGACCTCAATTTAGCCAACACATCGTTCTCCTTGCACACCTTAAGGAGGTAACCCTTGAGCTCATTAATGCATTTATTATCCTGTAATAAGCAAAACCAACTTATTATGGACATGAATGACCCAAGGTTTTAAAATTACGATTTCAATCTGTTTCATGGGTTGGGACACTTAAGCCATTCAAACAATTTTCAAGAAACAATATCGAAGCATTAAAAAAGACGAGATAGTTAAATAAAGGAGTGGAGGCAGCCTGCCTGGTATCTTCCCAGATTAAGAGCCGTAATAACAGAGTATACTGCATCGTCTTCATCATCCTCAATCTTCACAACAGTCCCTACCGTAGGTTGTCCCAGTATCAAGTCTGCAAAGCAGCCGAGATCCCACTCCTTAATGCCAAGGTATGTCTGTAGCAGGACCTTCACTCCATGAAAGTCGCTAGGTTTTGGATCAAAGAAGGCGAAATCTGCTTGAACAACTTCCTTTCCACATAAATAATCAATTAACTAAAGAACTTCGAAAAAAAAAAACCAAGATTCATGAAGCTAATAGCCATATTGGCAACAATTGGCAATACGAAGTACTAACTTCAAACTCTTCACCATCGGAAGAGTCAGCTTGTCCATTCTCATCTTCAACCTGATGATGCCCATTACCTAGATGTGCACATTTGTCATCAAATGTTGGTAAATACTGGGAAGAAATTAAAATTAAAAAAGCAGCAGCACCAGCAAGTACAGTATACAGAAAAGCATACCAGAAGAGCTGGGACAGTCTTTTGTTCGTAACGTGGAGCCTGGCATCTTGTGCCTGCCCTTGTTAATAGATACAACTGCAGCCATGGAACGACCAAATGGAGAAAATGTGAGTGGTCGACATCTTAATAGTCGTTGGTGTGTTGATTTTCGCGCCATTCTGTTGATTATGAGATCCGGATCAATGTAAGAAATAGATGAAAAGAGTAGAGAGTACGAGATGCAAGAGAATATGAAGAGGGAAACATTTATACGTCAATAGTAATTCATGCAAAAAGTGAAAGACTTATTACAGTATGGTCATTTATTGGCAAACTATATTAAGTGCAAATTACCATCAAATACAGAAAAATGAAATTTAGTTCTAATTCTACTTGACACAAACTCCCAACATTACGCCAAGTCAATAGAGTCGTATTTTCCAAATCAATGCAGCTATCAGCAGGAGGGTGCATGTTCAGGTTTGCTCGAAAACCTGACCGAATCCCATATCATTTTGGATTTTCACATAGAACCATAGTTATTCAACCCAACCTGGACAAGAGGCAAGATCATTGGTACAATGGTAGAACCAGTGGGTTAATTCCGGTTTCATTAAGTTAAAGTTTTCTAATTTACTTAATAAAATAGCTATATTTACCTGAAATATAGTGATTTATCATGTGCATTCGAAGGCCAATAAAGTCATTAAAAATAAAAAATTTAAAAAATTCAATTGCTCAAACCAATCTAATTGCAAAAATTAACTCAAGTAAGTGAACAATGAACAAGAACCTGCAGGTCAAGAACACATTAAATTATTTGAGATAAAATACAAATTACCAAATGCCTACAGACATTTGTGGCCTACTATAATCTTGCACATACCCATTGATGCTCATTGAAGAATATTTACAAAGACCTAATAAGATTATATGTCCATATAAATTAAAAGTAACTTTCATATTGAAATAAAAATTTATCACATATTTTTTGTATGAGATAGTTCTTGACAATTTTGCAGACTAGTGGAATAACTGACGGAGGAAGTGCAATGCACAAGTTCTATGGTCTTGCAAAGTATACATTACAGCCTGCACAATAACTTTTAAGCATTATAAATAAAAGGGTTTAATGCATTGAGGTCACCCAACTTTGAGCTGAGTTGCATCCGAATTGCTCACCTTCAATTTGGTGTAATCAAGCCACCCAACTTCGATTTGCTTGCAAATCCAGTCACTTCATCAACTTTAGTTTAACTAGTGTAATATGTTTACTTGGATGTTGAAATTAATGGATAACTGATGTTTAAAAACGTGCTTTCAGTTCTTAAGTTTTTTCAGAAATTTATTTTTTATTTTATTTGAGATCAGTGATGTGTATTGTTGAGTGAACTGGACATACACGTAATTTACATTTCATCCATTACTTTTGAAGTTTAGGTCATTATATTATTTTAGTTAAATTCACTGGGACAGAGGATTGTAAGAGAATCGAAGTTGAGTCATCTGATTGCAACAAATTAAAAATGAGTGATGTTCGAATGACACCAAATTAAAATTGAGATATTTGATTGCATCACAGAATCAAATGAAGCCACTAATGCATAAGACACAGATACAGCAATGATTTAATTTCAATAAATGAATCAATAAGAATCACACCGAAAAAGTTATAATCTGAAAATTAGAAAATTGGGACAAATGCAGAATTATGCAAACAATGCAGAATTGGGACTAATTAAAAGACAGAAACCTCATATCGCACTACAGTAATAGTAAATAATAACAGTAACTGTGACAAAATAATTGAAATTTAGTTCATTTTGCCTCAGGCCATGACAATTGAAGTACCCATCACAGACTAATGAGAAAAAATAAAAGCAAATGCATCTTTAAGCTTGACCAATCCTCCTAAAAAGACAAGACAGAATACATGGGAATCACGTTCCAGTTTCTCTAATCGATCAATGGAATATTTTTTGAGGAGCTGCTCAATGCTAAAAATCATAAAGTAACTATGAAGCAGAGTAGACACCAGTTTCTAAGTTAACTCCAAAGCAGAATCAGAAATCTTACCTGATTCTTATTTGAAAAAGTCAGCAATTGCGATGAAGGAAGAAGATTGGTTCCAATCTATGAAATATGGCAGAACTCAGGGTCGAATCTCAATGGGGTTGGGACTTGGGCCGGGTGAGAGAATAAAGAGGAATGCTGAACCGCTTATTTTTAAGGGAAATTACTGTGGAGTCCTCAACCTTTATAGAATAAAGCATTTAGGCCCTAAAGATTTACTGTTGCAATTATGACTCTTCGAGTTTTCATTTTCGTCCACTTTTTCAACTTTGTGTCTAATTGCAAATTTAGATATCTTCACAAATAATAAAAATGTGAATAAAGTATTGTTCAACATGAAAATTAGCACCTATGAACTATACCGAGACTTGGAGTTGATTTGTGTAGTTAAAATTCAATAACGAAAAATTATAATTTTTCAATAAAAGATAAGAATATATTTCTATGATTCGTGTGGTTGTGTGTAAATTTTATGATTCATTTAATGTGTTTTTATATATTATTGTATTAATTTTTTAGTTCAAAAGTAAATTGATATTGATTGAAGCGAATATAGATAAATTAAGAAATTCAGATTTTTGCATTAATCGCATACGAGTCAAGTGAAATTGGTAATGGAGCACTTCATGACCAACACAATGTTAATATTTTTATTTTTTTATTATATTTTACTTTGTGTTTTATTTATTTAGGAAGTTAGAGTACTAGGGAAATTTTTATATATTATAATTAGAAATGTTACAAAACATATTTTTTAAAATAATAAATTTGTAAAAAAAAATTAAAAAATCCAATTGTTACAATTTGTTATATCTGATAAAATATTGTGACACATAATTTAAATAAACAAGTCATGATCACATACAACTAGGAATGTCAACGAGCCAAGTCGAGTCGAGCCCGATCCTAAAACTTTCGGCTCGAGCTCACTTGGTTAAAATGGTTGAGTTTTTTGTCAAAAAATTTGGGCTTGGGCTTTTCGGAGCTGAGCTGGGGCCGACTCTTTTTTTTTTGTCCCTTTCGGCTGCCTTGGCTCTTTTTTCTTTTTCTTGAAAGGCAGAATTCAATTCTGCCTTTTTAAAGGCAGCAACAATTCTGCCTTTTATGTCCTTTTTTTTTTTTTTTAAATGCTTGTGGGCCAGCTCGGGCTTGGCCCGTGTCCCCAAAATGGGGCTAGGCCCTAGCCTCGTCCGAGCCTTTTTGACACCCCTACATACTAATCACAAATCAAACGAGGTTATAATCACATGAAATAATTTGTATATCACAATCACGTATTTGATCAAATATCAGTATGTCACACATTTAATAGGTCATAATTTTGGAGTCAATGATATTAGAAGATAAGGTATATATCACGAAGTTTTATTGATGTTATTTTTGTATAGTTCCTTCCAATCTAATAGTGGTGGTCACCAATTCAACAACACCTCTTACTATTGTCTCTTTTATGAATGTGCAAAATTTATTTATTTCATATCAAGTAATTCTTTTCCTTTTATTTTGATAAAATGAAAAAGTTTTCAGGCTGGCTTGGGCTTGGCCCATGTCCCCAAAATGGGGCTAGGCCCTAGCCTTGTCCAAGCCTTTTTGACACCCCTACATACTAATCACAAATCAAACGAGGTCATAATCACATGAAATAATTTGTATGTCACAATCACGTATTTGATCAAATATTAGTATATTACACATTTAATAGGTCATAAATTTGGAGTCAATGATATTAAAAGATAAGATATATATGACGAAGTTTTATTGATGTTATTTTTGTATAGTTCCTTACAATCTAATAGTGGCGGTCACCAATTCGACAACACCTCTTACTATTCTCTCTTTTATGAATGTGCAAAATTTATTTATTTCATATCAAGTAATTCTTTTCCTTTTATTTTGATAAAATGAAAAAGTTTTCATTTATGTTCGATGTCCAGCAGATGATCTGAGCAAATTTCAAGCAAAATCTGAGACATTGTTTTTTTGATCCTTTTTATATCATACCAAAATAAATTGGCAGAAAATCCAGGTCATGAGTCACAATGGGATTACTCTTTAGTAGAATATAATTGGAGCTGTTTTAAAGAATCAAGTTTAGTTCATTATTTGGAGCTGATTTCCTGTTTTTGTTTTTTGCTCTTAGAACTATCCTCTTCAGTTTCGGCAAAATGAGCACATGGATACATGTATTTTTGTCTTGTTGTAATGACTATTTGGAAAGGATAGGAGGATCACTTGATTTACCTGTTATATTTTGTTTTAGTTTTGGTTTCAATTTCGAACTCGTGATAAAGTATCTCAGATCTTTTATTGAAGCTGGGGATTGAAGATTCAGGAAGGATGATCTTGAAATCTTTCTACAAAAGAATGACGAAAAAGTGCAATTTTGGAATGAAAATTCAAGTACACTTTCTAGTCGTCAAGCCTTTGCCATAGGAAAGAACATTGAAATAAGTTTGTATAGGTAACTATACATTTGCATTAGTGGCACTGGTGAATACAAGTTGGGAAATTTATTCATAATCTTCAGGTTGGGCCCAAGGATACTTCAAGAATCCGCCCTTAATTTGTGAAGGATTTTGTGGTGTAGACCAAGGGTACTTCATGTCTGGATCTCGTGGGAATTTCCTGAAGTTGAGAAATGGTGCCCATAGCAATACACTGGACGACAACAAATACATACTATTGTTATTGATTTTCAAGTAACATTTCATTAAAGACATATAGTACATGTTATAGTTGAACAAGATAATAGACAAATATTATTATTCGTAAATAAGGAGTTGAACAGAGAGCGCGATCCCCTCATGAAGGTGGGGAGGATGAACTTCTTTATTCCCTACTAATGCACTACTACTTTTTCTCTGTTTAAGGTCTTCTGCCTCTTAGTCATATGCTCATGGATTATTGTTATCAAGGATGGTGATTGCCCTGTTGACGTCAATAGGGACGAACTGAAAGTAAAGAAGAAAATGGAATGCGGTGTTCTAGTTTCAGAATAGGACAAGGAAGGAAAGTAAGATCTACTAAAAAAAAAGGTCGAAAGAATCNAGAAAATGGAATGCGGTGTTCTAGTTTCAGAATAGGACAAGGAAGGAAAGTAAGATCTACTAAAAAAAAAGGTCGAAAGAATCTGAGCTAATTCTGATTTTCAGATCATATAAACAAATATATAGCATATCTGATAATGCTTAAGAACTTCCCCATTTGTGCCATGGCTGCAGCCAACGTGATAATGCTTTCTCCTTAAGAATTTAGAATTTCTTCTTTGTTCTAACAAAATTCCAAAAAATAGATAGGAGGACAATATCATTTTACTTATGGGCAAATGACAGAATTGGATCTGTTCACGGTGGATTCACAATCCACTGCCTTAATTTATTTGATTAGGGAAATGGGGTCAATTTGTGATACGTCTCTATTTGATGGATACCTCTTTGACTAATAGGTACTATAATCGACATTCTTGCTATCGACTCAATCAGTTACGTCAATAAGGAATCATTTTGTTTAATGCAGCATCAACAATGATGCCAAACTATGTTTTTTATTTATTTATTTTTAAATCAGCCATAGTTCATAAGCATAAAATTTATGAATTGATGCATGAAAGTAGAAAAGCCAGTTACTTACCCCGGATAGAACATAAAAACAAACATGAATTGCAAATACATCTCCAACAAGTTCCTCTTGTACCATCTGGTCCTAAGCCAGTTCATGATTATGGGCTGCAACATTTCAAAACCTTTTGTTCAGTTAATGCAATTATTATAATCAAGAACTCATATCCATCAAGTTTGATATACAATATTAGACGACTTTCACTCACTGGGGCAACGATGAAGTACAGGAAAGCTGAAATTCCCAACTGAATCAAAACCCATAAAAGATCTTCTTCTTCATTCACTCCTGTTACAGCAAGAGCAGGCTCTGCAACCTGTATCCAAATAATTTCTAGAAAGTTCTGCCCAATAAAATGGAAAATTAAATGAAATAAACATCAGTTTCTCACAGCTGCTAAAATTATTCCAACTTGAATAGCCAAACCCGACTGCTTAATGCAGAAATTTCTTATGTTCTTTGAGCAGATTCTTGAGTTCGAGTTTGCCTGTCATTAAAAATAAAAAAGATTAAAATTCATGATAGTTTTGGGAATTCATTTGAAAACAACTGTCTGAAAATGATAATAGAAAACCTGCTTGGAATTGAAATTCTGGGTTTGATTTTGCTTGCAAGAAATGATGAGAGAAGGGTTTGTTGAATGGTGGGATGGGAAGAGAGAAGGCAAAGCCCTGGGGATGAATGAGGAACTCATATCTGATTCTCAGCCAATTGTGCCGTTACGCTTATCTCTTTGGTTTTCAGGTCGAATTTTCTCTTTCTTTTCCTTTATTTCAAGAAACTGTGAAAATGCAATAGTTTATTAATAACAATAATGAATATAATAAAAATGGTCAGCCTTGTACAATTTAAATAAAATCATATGTTTAATTATGACAAAATAAAAACTAACCAGTTCAGTTTAATTCCAACTGAAGTTGGTTTGACTTTGGGATTGTTGATGCCAGATAGTGTTGTGGTACTTCTTGATCAACTTTAAGGATTTACGAGCCCCCTTTTTTTCTGCTAAAAGAAAGAAAATGGAAAATCTGGTCTATCATAGAAATAATGGGGTGCAACGATCCGAGATTCTTCAACACCTAGGTCAAAGCAACGAGAATTGCATTATTCGATAATGGAAATGAACCTTCTATATAAGAATTTTAAAAAGTTTATACCGTCTTAATCACTTCAATCTACGACATGACACAATAACTTGATCCACTCAAGTAATTTTTCTTACTCCTTATAAGTCATTTAGGATGGATTTGTCCGTGTAATCGAGACTTAGACTAGATCATGTATGTTGCACGTACTCATTCAATTATTTGGACAATTATTACTTTAGTTCAAATTTCATAACATCGAGACATCCTATATTTTGACATGACAATATAATCGATATGTTGATTCATTAACATTAGACCGTCAAACTGAAGGCATTCTTAGTTTAGCTATCTAAGCTTAGGAGATGCGATGTTCCTCATTGTTGGTCTCTTAACTTATGTTCAAGGTCTGTTCTGACTATGTAATTGAGGGTGTGTTTGAGTCGTATTATTTGACATTATAATAAGATGAATATTTTTTTTTTGAAAAAATAGTGGTTGAAATTTTTTTGATTTACAGTAATATTATTTTATTGAAGATTGTGTGATTAAAAGTAGGAGAGAGTAAATTTTAATTTAATATAATGAGAAATAATGAGGCTGAATTTTGATTTTAAGTTCTATAATTATTTTTTTATAATATCATGCTCACCCAAGGCTTATCCCAAATATGTCCACAGTTTGAGATATTTTCAGTTGGGGGAGCAGTCACAAGATATCATGGTTAGCCTCAATTTCCTCTCCATTACCAGACCTCACGTTATAGCTTCCTCTTTACCGAACGACAGACCCCATTTACCTCCTCATCCCAATTCTCTTCCAAGAACAAATAATTCAACCCCACCACAATTTCATCAGCAAGAAAAGCTAAAGCCAAAGCAAAAGCAAAGGCAGTCTTCTATTGCAGAAATTGAAAGGGCTATCGGTGCTGGCATTTTTCGAGAAAATGACACGAACAGGTAAAACAAGAACCCATATTTTCTATCCATTATATATATATTTTTGGTTTTTCTAATTGAAGCTGTGTATTGTTTTGAATTTTCAGGGAGTCGGAAGGGAATAAGAATTTGTTTGATAGTATATTGACGAATTCTGTTGGGAAGGATGAAGGGTCTGTGGAGAAGAAACTGCGGGAGACTGGAGAATGGATCATTGATCAAACTGAAAGAACTTCGCGCTCTTCTGGTAATTTTGTATTTTTCTACTTTTATATGAAGTCCAGGAAATGTAGTATTTGTTGGAAAATATTAAGTGCATAAATTATATTCAAATAACTAACTTTTTACTTGCATAAAATCTGAAAGAATTTCAACTTTGATATGTAGAAACTTGAAATGCAAGAATATGAATTGGCTGATTCAAGAGTTCGAATTTTCCTTCTTAAGACGATAATGCCCATCATGGGTGCTAAAAAAATTTCGATATTTGTCTTCCAATATACGACGATGATGTTCCGCCATAAGAGCATTCCAAATTACATAAACCAGCGAACTTACTATATTTTGATCTCCCTTCATATGAAATTCGATGCAAAATAAATGCAGAAAATATTTTGAAGTGAATATGCATCCATGTGATAATGTAGGATGAAGTGAATGAATAGGAATTCTAAACATTGGGATCAATATATAATGATCCATAGGTTGTCTCAAAGATACAACTCAATGAAAAAGTATGCCTTTTTGGAATGTGACTTTTGGAAAATGTTATGTCCCAAAGATATCATTTTTCAGCCAAATAAGTTCTAAAATATTCCATAATATTTCATATAATTTTCCAACAATTTCCATGTATTTAAGAGGCTTAAATTTGGCCTCAATTTCTCATTCATCCGAAATTGGCTTTGGCTTTGAGCAACTAAATTAACTATGGTAATCTATTTGTGCAGTAGAACACTTTCGGCTTTCAAATCTCCATCACCGACTAACGGCTTTCAATTAAATAATCAGTCAAAAAATTGGTCAAGATCATTTTTCTATACCAATTTCCAACAGTATTTTGCACTTTTTATGAATTTGTGATTAAAAAACTATTGCCTCGTAATTCTTTAAATTCTAATAGGTTATATTCCATTTCCATGTGGTGGAGTTGTTGTTGTTGTTTTTTTTTTTTTTTTTTGGGGGTGGGGTGGGGGGTGTCAATGTTTGCACAATGAATACTCCTTTTTCTATTCCATTGTGTTCATAGACCTCAACTACTTTTAGTTTTACCGAATCGATGGGGTATAAATTGTAGATGTGTTGAATTGTATGAAAACTCTAGACCTAGTACAGAATCCAGGTTGTGGAACTGCTTTCTTTTTAAATGCCATGTTCTTGATTGAGCTTCAGCATAATAAACTGCTAAGTTACTTTTTCCATGTTAAAATTAGTTATATTGAATTCAACACGATCATTTTACAATGTGATAAAGCAAGGTAATATCATTGTGGATTATGTTATTAAAATTATTTCCAATAAGTTAAGTGACTTTTTGCTGTAGATAAATTTGTGCACGGAGAAGTTTTTATCTAAAAGCAAGAAGTGTTTATAAACAATTTAGTTTCTAATTAGATAAAAATGAGTGGTGGATAAGTGAGCAATAATTGTGGATTCCATAAAATGTGTGGATAAAAAGTGATTTTGATTGTTTATAAACAAGTTAAAAACATTAGCCAAACATAGGCTTACAGGATTAGAATTATGAGGATTTTACTCGTTTGGTGATAGAGTACATTGTTTATTTGTGGTTATTAAATTATTGATCTTAGATAACTCATTATTTAACCTCTTTGCAGATATTAATTGAAAATGCATAATTTTTTGAATTTGGGTTCATTCGAGAAGTAAATCTTGTGATAGCTTTTGGCCTAGTCTCTAAACTAGTTAAGAATTCAGTTGTGCGCCATATGTAGAATGCCTTGCCTGAAGTAAAATCAGAATTATGATAAATAAGCTTAGCTTGGGAAGACATTCATTTGACTTCTAGAAAAAAAATAAAGTGATCCCTTTCCCTCAAGGATGGTGGATCAAAGTCGGAGGAGTCAAAACATCAAATTGGTTCATCAGGCTAGTTGTAGTAGGAGGATGTTCCGGGGTTCCAAAAGTCCCGCTTCCCAGTGCTTGCATATCAAAAGGAAAAAGAAATTTTTATACAACCGAGGACAAGTTTGGGAGTATAAATTTGGAAATGTTCCACTTGGATTTAGATTAGTTCTTACAGATCACATTTCGAAACATGCTGATAGTGTTAAATTCTTTGTAGAGTCCGAATTAGAGTTTTACGCATACGTTTTATTGGAAACCTACAAAGTCGCAGTATGCTGCACTTAGGTATGAAATCTAAGCTCAACGGGCCTGTGAACTTTGTGTGATCCATTGTTAGCTTGCTTCTACTTTTCTGATGCTTGTATTTAAGCTCAATGGGGTGCAGAAATTTGTGTAAATTGTTGGTAAATATTAACTATTAGTAAAGAGAAAACTGTTGGAAAATGTTCTTTCTCCTCATGCAATGCAAGAGGGTAAGATAATAAGATCCCCATTAGTCCAATAGCACGGTACATAGAAGTTTGCCACTGAATTATTGACCTCCATCAGATAATTGTTTAATCTGTTTTGCAACTTATATCTGATTTCTGAAGCACATATTTATTGACTTAGTAAAATTTGGTTACGAACTACACTTTCTTGTTTCTGTTGCTCAGCGTTAAACAAAATGATATTTCAATAATGCTCAACAAATTGTCTCTGAATCAATATTTGAATTTTTAAGAGAAGGCAGTGAAAGCTTTCTTTAAGATCAGTCACCACCTTGCAGTGTTTTCGGTACTCTGATTTCAAGGGGTCAGAATGTTATTGATTTTTCTAGTTATTACCAATTTTTGTTAAGTGCAAGGGAATGCACAAGTAAAACAAGGAATGGAGACAACACAAGCAGAAACTGGACTAGAAAATTTCCTTTTTTATGATAGAGTTTCTTGAAATTTTTTTTTTTTTTTTTTTTTTGCTCAAAATTTTTTGCTGTTATTAAATTTCTTCATACCAGTATACATGGGGGATTTTGGTATGTTAGATGATTCTATTAGAAACTCATTTGAACATGTCCTTTCATGATGGCAAAGGGCCAGTGAGTTGTTCAATGCTCAAGTGAGACTGCTTGAGCTATTATTTCTCTATCAAAGGGTAGTCAATGAGCTCTTGAATAAGAACTGAAGAAACAGAAGCTCCGAGTCTCCAACTGAATTCCCAGCTATGAGTGTATTACAATATTTATCTTTTACCTGTGAAGTACCAACAATTTTGACACTCCATCTATTGAGGTTTCCTATTGCATGTTATTCTTTGAACTGCAGAAACTACTTTGGTTACATTCTTTGCTTTAAATTATCTGTTGAAACTGCTCTAGCTTTTCAGGGAGCTTCAGATCCCATCTGTATTTTCAAATGAGTTTTTTTGTTTTTGTTTTTTTTTTTTTTTTGGTCCACATCTTAGCAAAGAAAAACACAGTTTTAAGAAGGAGCGATGTTCGTTAGGCATGTTAATGTTGTTCCCGAGATGGACCAGACCTATTGGCAGACCAGATTTTGTAAGGTTCCAGGGAAAGAAATATGCAAACAGAGGTTTCTGCATGAAGGCTACAAATGATGTAGTTATTTTGTCTCTCGAACTTAGAGTATTTGAAGAGGAAGGCCATTTATAAATCCTTTACACAGCATTACTTGTGCCAGTCATAAAGTGTGCACTACAAAAATACAAAGGAATTTTAAAGTGATGAGAATATTTCAGTATATTGACCTTGCTAAAAAATATCATTTGGTTTAGGCATGCAAACCAGTTTGCTGTCATATTTAATTGTTGAAGGTACTTTATGTTTAATTTCTGCCAGAGAATGAATTCAAATAGCTCCATCACCAAGGTTACGAGTGAAAGTAGAAATCTAGAACCATCTAATTCTATTGACTCTGGAGTTGGCAGAAGGGGCACCTGTAATAGACTATAGAACGATGCTTTGCTATCACTAATCTTTCTCCACTCAATCTCTCTGTTGAATTATTTGGTTTCAAATTAAACTGTCCGTGGCTCATTTTCCAGCAGCCAAAAGGATCTCCTAAAATATTTCTTGTTCAAGGCTGAAGCTAGATGAATCAATTAAACATCTTTTGAATTTGTTCTCTAGGATTCTGGTAAGTAAGTTTGAGAAACACTACAGGTCCCTTAAATGTTAGAAGGAAAACAAGGACATATTTTTTTTCACATTTTGAAGTTCTTGGAGGTTGGTTCTCTACTATATGTCAGTTAATTTCGTTAAAAATATGCTATAATTTAGTTTGTACGAAATGGTTTGGTTAATTGTGCTAGTTTTTCTCCTCTAGTTACTTCTACTTGATTTCCATCTTATTGACCTTGTGCTTGTGTTCTAATCTGATATACTTAAAGTGTTATAGTTAACATATTTTGGCAGTTTATATGATAAACTTTATAAAGTTCTTGTAATCCAACAATCTGCATCATCTCTCTGGATAAGAAAAGTTCATCTTAATCTGTGTTTTTGGATTGATTATCAGCATGTTTGGCTAAGCTTAAAAGCATCTTTTTGAGAGCATGATTTGTGGCTATTTTGCAGCTCTTATGTTCATAGCCTACTATTATTTTCTAACTAAGCAGTTATTTTTCGCAATTTACACTCATTGTCCACAGCTTAAATAGCTTCAAACTGTACCAATCTTTTGATGTTTATTACTACTTGGCAGGAAAGCAAATTCTCATGACGGTGTTTCTATGGGTTCTGCCAATGTGGATAGTTGCATTTCTTGTAGCTTCTGGGATCTTACAGCTGCCCTTCAGCACCCCTTTTCTTGACGATATAATTTCGTGAAGAATAGTTGGAATCAAACTTTTATGCAACTGATCTCTGTCGATGGGTGCACGCTGTTTCACGTGCTCAATCACACAGTAAATACTACTGTCTCGAAATCCAAGGGAAAGATGCATTTATTATATAGCAGAGGCCAGTTTGCACACTGGTTTATGTATATTGTGTAGGGGCAATATGTGAAACTTCCACTTTGATTCCATTAAAAATTTTCGTGTGGGGGATTGTAAATTTTATTATTAATTTTAATCATTTTCGAATTTTCTTTTGGATCAAACTAGCCAGTAAATATGGTAGCTAGAGAGTTGCTGAATGATTTATTGAAATCATAAATGTCACCATTATATTTTCATTTATTCTAATTTATTAGTGATGGAAATTATAATTTTTTGCAACTGTATAAATCCCTTTTTCTCAGGGGGAAAACATTGAAGATATTTCTTAACTTTTGTAATTTCTAAAAACTCATTTCTATTATTATTTTGGTTTTTGGAGTTGTTTTGAAGTAAGATTGAGAGTTCTGAAAATTGCTTGTTTTATTTTGAGAGTGATAGTTCAAAGGGGTTGCAACATTTAATAAAAGGTAATTTTACTTTAGAACATCGCGTTGTGACAAAAATCAATCGATCAATTGATAACGTTAAATCTTCTTACATTTTTGCGTTTTAGTGAGGGAAAATTGCAGTCACAGTACCAAGTTTTTCACTTTTATGCATACTTGATACGAACCTTTTATTTTTGTCACTTATGATACCAAACCTCTCAAAAACTTGCATTTAGAGTCTAAATAGATGGTTTCTGTTAATTTGACAGTTAGCTAATCAAAGATTTGACTATGACCATAATTTTGACCGATTTTACAAGAATAAAATTGTAACTTTACCTTTTTTTTTTAAATTAAAAAGACAATTATAATATATTAATAATTAAATAAAAATAGCCAAAAATCAAACATAAAATCCACTATTCACCACCATCCCCTTCATCCCCGACCCCCTTACCCTAAAACATAAAAGATTTAATATCGTGGCTACATCTTTCCTTTTTAATAATTGTTCTTGAAATGTATCTTCAACTAACTTTTGTCCAACAAGCTTTGTGTCTACGCTTATTTGCAGAGATATTCAGCTAATTTTGTTCACCAAAATTCAGTTTGGATTCCAACATCACCAATATTTACTCTTTGATTATTAGACTTGATAATTCAGTGGATCGTTTGATCGGTCAATATAAGCAAACCTTGACCTTTTCATCAAACTCTCGAGCAACCATGTAAAACTTAGAAAAAACAAGTATTGGCTATTGTCGAAAGGAGTAGTTTACTAGAGAACTATAATCTAGGTGAGATCAAGCGAAATGTCACCTTTTATTGCAACGGTCCCTCAAAGACTACTCTAACAAAGAAAATGCTTAGACCAAATGGGGAACTCCACTCGTGCAAACAATATTAATATCTGATCTTCTATGAATTGTACTATTAACCTCTCACAAGGAAATAACTTATAATAACATATTCTATCAAATTGCTTAAATAAAAATTAATTTTAGAATAAAAAGTTAACTTGATCACAAAATGTTTAGTTGGGAATTAAAGATACATACAAAATTATTTCTTTACGTCGATTTATCATATGACGTGATTCATGATAGAGTTTGACTGTATATTCTCTACTAGCTATGGCTTTCGAAAAAAGTAGTTTTGGCACCCTACTTCATAACCTTCGTTTTTAGTTTATCAAGCGTCAAAGGACTTGAAGTCTTCTTGAAATTGATTAAGGGCCCAATTGCCATATTTGAAAAAAGATTGACGACCTTCTTCAATTTTCTCTATAAAATATGAGCACACTTAACATAACTACTTAATTTATAATTACTATTATAAATGATAAAAAATTAAATTTATACAATCATGACATCATCATCACATCTCGGAGAATAATACTATAACAGAAAAGAAAGTGTATTGATAGTATATGATTAATTGAAAAAATTAACTGTATTTTAAATAGTATAATGATAAATGGTTATGTAATATTGTTTGAATTATGTTAACAATAATGTGAGTAAATTTAATCAATAATCACTTAACTTTACACTTGATTACTACTTGCTCACTCATCTTTCACATATTACTGAATACTCACTCATTTTTTCATATAATTACTCATTCACCACTCATCTCTTCAAATAATTGGACTACTTTTACGGCAAATTTTCGACAACTTCCGACTACAAAGAGTGTCGAATTTTGATATCGTTGGAAAGCCCACGATGTCCTCTTCAATTACCACCCAAAATCTCATTATAATTTCAAGGAATTCGATCGAAAAATTGCCTTAAAATTCGCCCAAAAAATCTGAAAATCTGCCCAGATTTTCAGATTTTTTGGGTGAATTTTAAGGTAATTTTCGGCAACTTTCGACCATCAAAACTATCTAATTTTGATACCATTGAAAAGTCCACAATGTCCTCTTCAATTACCACCCAAAATTTCCCGATAACTCCAAAGGATTCGGTCGGAATAAACCCACAAAATCAGTGTCCCGAACTTTGTCCAGATTTTCGTCTTTTCAAGATGCTGATTTTGTGGGTTTATTCCGATCGAATTCTTTGGAATTATGAGAAAATTTTGGATGGTAATTGAAGAGGACATTGTGGGCTTTCCAATGGTATCAAAATTCGATAGTTTTGAAATTCGAAAGTTGTCGAAAAATTGCCTTAAAAGTTGCCCAAAAAATCTGGGCAGGTTTTCAAAATATTTAGGCAACTTTTAAGGCAATTTTTCGATCGAATCCCTTGGAGATATAATGAGATTTTGGGTGGTAATTGAAGAGGATATCGCGGGCTTTCCAACGGTATCAAAATTCGACATTCTTTGTGGTCGGAAGTTGTCGAAAATTTGTCGTAAAAGTCACCCAATTATTTGAAGAGACGAGTGGTGAATGAGTAATTATATGAAAAGATGAGTGAGCATTCAGTAATATGTGAAAGATGAATGCGTAAGTAGTAATCAAGTGTAAAGTTCAGTAATTATTGGTTAAATTTACTCACAATAATGTTCATGTAACAGGGTTCGAAAGGTCCGTAAAAGACCGCGCGACCAAACCATCAAACGCCATTTTCTCAGCAGAAACGAACAGTAACAACCCATTTTCTCTCTCTATCAGAGGCTGAATAAATTGCAGTAGAAACAGGAAATTGAGAAAATTTAGGGTTCCGATTTTTTTTTTTTTTTATTAGTAGTGGGTAGAAGAAAAAGAAGCGATCTGAACGGTGTAAAGAGCGCAAATGGCGACACTACGTACATGGAGAAAAGCGTACGGTGCTTTCAAAGATAGCACCAAGGTTGGACTTGCACATGTCAATTCCGATTTCAAGGTCGCTCGTCTTTCTATCTATATGTATATGTATATGTATATATGTAAAGGATGCTTTTTGATTATGCGAAGGAAAAAAATTGGAAAATCAACAATTAAGTTCTGAAATTTGATGATTATGTTAATGTTATTTTTTAAAAAATTTTTGGTTGGCTAAAAATAGGATGTTGATGTGGCGATCGTCAAAGCTACGAATCATTTAGAGTGTCCACCCAAAGACAGACACCTCAGAAGTGAGATTTTTTTTTTTTCTCTCTGTGTCTATACATATTCGTTTTGATTTTTAGGGGCGGATTCGATGAATTGTATAATGGAGTTTTTTGGGTGGTTTCCTGTAGCTTTTTATGATTTTTATTGAATTAAGTTTCTATTATTATAATTAATTAATTAATTATTTATTTTTATTTTTATTTATTATTTTATTTTTTTTGGGGAAAATCTGTGAATCTTTCTGGACTTTGGTTTTCAATTTTTTAAAGGAAAATGGTGTTTAAATATTCTCCTTTAGTTTAAGAAATGTGAAATTTTCTACTTGTAGCTGTTTTCTGTAATCTATGTGAATATTCAACTTAGATTCTTTAATTTTGTCAAAACATTTTAAATCTTGAACTTGGAATGTTATAAATTCTTATTTTCTGGGAATTTTTATGAGTTTGTCTTTTAAGTTTCTTTTTTCAGGGGAATTAGTTGTAATATGGTGAAAAAGAGTGAACTTGTGACATGTTATTACTGTTTGGGTGTTTCTTGCAGAAATTTTGGTTGCCACATCATCAATAAGACCTCGGGCGGATGTCTCATACTGCATACATTCGCTTTCAAGACGGTTGGCAAAGACACATAACTGGACGGTATGGATTCTGCTTTATTGGGGCTCCATTCCACCGGATTCTGCTTTGATGGGGCTCAATTCCATCTACCTCGTCTTGTTACGAGCATTTACTGTATCATTTGGAAGCTCTGTCTTGCAAATATTGTATTGTTGAGCTATTGCTGAACATATGCATCTTACTAACAGGATGGCATATTGAAACTTCATAAGCAGGAACCTTCACCTAAACAGCTAAACTTTCATTTTGCTGCTTCAATTTTTCTCGAAATTATTCTTCTCTGTATTCTTGTTCTTTCTATTCTGTCCTGCATCAGCCTTGGTATCTGATTGAGAACATTGTTTTTGCATGACTTTCTTACAAGAACTTAGAGTTGAATTCTATGTTAGACCAATTTAGTGCAGACTTCATATATGTATTCAACTATTCATCGTTGTCATCAATTTTTCAACAGGTTGCTTTGAAGACGCTAATAATTATCCATAGAACATTGCGAGAAGGTGATCCGACATTTAGGGAGGAACTTTTGCATTCCCAGCAGAGAGGGAACATTCTTGAGATGTCCAATTTCAGGGATGATTCAAGCCCCATTGGTAAGTGAGAATGCAACTGTCATTATTTACATACTTGCCTTTTATAGATTCCACAAAACTCAAAAATAAATACATAATTAATTAATGTAAATAAACATCCCAAAATGCACAAAAAAGGAAAAAAATTCAAATGCAACTAAAAACCTATTGATACTACTTTTAGGATCAGGATAATTTAGATCCACTTTCTTTTCCAGCTTGGGATTTCTCTGCTTGGGTACGGACGTATGCACTCTACTTGGAAGAACGACTTGAATGCTTTAGGATACTGAAGTATGATATTGAATCCGAGCATCTTCCCAGACCTGCAAAAGGCGAAGATAAGGTGCATATTGTTTTTCACCAATCATATATATATTTCCTTTTTCAGCAAAATTTATTTGGTGTTTATTTTTTGCTTTATGATTGCATTAATGTGTAGCTTGTACATTATCTATAAACTGATTAAAATGCTTGTTTCTTTTACCTGAAGAAATTTTATAGTGTATTCTATACCTGAATTAATAGTTAAATTGGATATTTTCTGCAACAGGTTTGTAGCCATTAAGTTCAGTAGATATAAAGCTGATTATTCGGAGAATGGGAAGCTTGATAAAGTCTCTAAAACTTTTGGAGTAGCTGTTATTTTTGAGCTTCCAATAGACATTAAGTAGTCTATCACAGATGTTAAGATGTCTTATGCCAGTGGACTATTCCCTGAATTTTTGTTATATCCTACTAATCCTTGTGCTTGAGAAGCTCAAAAGAGATGTTTACATAAAGTTCAATTAATGTGAAAAGAGAATTTTGTTGTTATGTATGATACACTGAGCTTAAAATCACATTTCACAATCACTTCTAAGCTTGAGAAAAATTTCTTTGGTTCCTTTTTAGCAGGTTGACAGCAGAACTAGAGATTTGAAAAGCGATGAACTGCTGGAGCAATTGTCTGCTTTGCAGCAGCAGTTGCATCGTCTCGTTGGATGTCAGGTACTTTCTCAATCTTGATAATTATCCTCCTTCAGCAGAACCATTGTCCTATTTCTGTTCTATGATATTATTTGAATTTCTTAATTGACAATTATTTGGGAAAACTGATTTTTAATTGACAATTACGAATTTACAGCCTGAAGGAGCAGCTGTGGGCAACTATGTGATTCAGTATGCCCTTGCCTTGGTATGTATTCTTGTTAACACCTGTAACTAAGTTGCATAATTGTATGGAATATGGGTGTGATTCAAGTGAAATTAAATAATGTTCATGGGAAAGGGTAAATGTAAAACTGAAAGTAAGACTGAATGTCCTGGTGTATATGATAAGAGGTTATGTCGCAGTTAAGAATTGGTCTCTCGCAACTGTCCAGTGGAAAATGGATGCCGCTCTTCTGGTAGCCATTGTTTGCTTAATTTCTTCTGGTTCAAAATGACTAACATTGCCCGACCATTATATGTGATTTTCAGGTACTCAAAGAGAGCTTCAAAATTTATTGTGCTATTAATGATGGGATTATTAATCTTGTCGACAAGGTGAAACTACCATTAAGATGCTGTGGCGATTAGCTTAATCATTAAAACACATTCTCTTTCTGACCTCTATTGATTTTCCAATTCAGTTTTTTGAGATGCCAAGACATGAAGCAATCAAGGCCCTTGATATCTACAAAAGAGCTGGACAGCTGGTACTTTTTTGCTTTGCAGAACTTATTATGTACCTTACTACAATTTCGATGATTAATTTTTATGCTTTTACTACAGGCTGGTAGTCTTTCTGGTTTCTATGAAGTGTGCAAAGGCCTTGAACTTGCTAGAAATTTCCAATTCCCTGTGTTGAGAGAGGTAAGAAAATCTCAGAAGATTTGGAGCCTTAGGCTTCTTTTAATATTTTTGGTGATATCTAGGTGACACCTTATTAATCATTCTTCCTTTCCCTTTCCAGCCTCCACAGTCCTTTCTAGTTACCATGGAAGAGTATACACGGGAAGCCCCACGAATGGTTTCTGTTCCAATTATGTCCTTGGTTAGTTATTTAATTCAATAGGGCACAAACATTATTTATCAGGCATCACTTACTTTCCAGCCTTTGTATGCATCTTTTATATATGTCTCCACTTGTTGGCATCTGATTTCTCTGTATGGTCACTGTAATTAAAAGACAGACGCGACACTCATTTTTGCTTGTCCTATATTAGGAATATCCTGAAATGCTTCAGTTGACTTATAAACAAGAGGATGCTCCTTCACCTTCTGATGAGACAAAAGTGCCGCATGAGGAACCGAAGCTACCACGTTCAGAAGATGTCGCGGTCTCAACTGCGGAGGCTGTTGGTCCTCAACCCCCTTCAACTAACTTGGACACTGATGATCTACTGGTGAGTTTCTTTGTTCCTGGTGTATTCTTGTACTATTTCATTTCCTTTACGGAACCGGAACACTGATATCTGAATTTTTCTGTTACTTGTTTTGGTTTCAAATAATCCAGCGGTTAAATGTCACTGCACCTGATGCTTCTGCCATCGCGGAAAGCAACGCAATGGCTTTAGCAATAGTTCCATCTGGTTAGGATTTCTCCTGTTCTCTTTTACTTATCTGCTTATTAACAATTTTATACATCATACATTGAAGGGGAATTGCATGATATATTATATGATACAGGTACTACACATGGTTCTGATGCTTTTCAAGCCCCCGACTTTGATCCTACTGGATGGGAAGTTGCCCTGGTTAGCACTCCCAGCAGCAACTTGTCTTCATTTCAGGAGAGGCAATTGGTAGGTCGTTTTGCTAGTGATTGGTCTGCTAAGTTTTCACATCATTCTATCTACTTTGTACGTCTCCCATCTTCATGGTTGTGTTCATCCATCCATGAATGTGTTTCTAATGGCAAAGCCATATCTGTGGTAGGCATTCAATCATCCATTAAGCAATTAAATTTTGGCGGTACATATGAAAATATGCAATAAAGATATACATGCCTACTTGAATGGAAATTGATGATAGAAGCAGATATACTACTAAATTTATGCATTTCATTCATAAAAGCGGGGCTGAGGTGCACTCGGGGAAGTACCGAACATGCACTTGAAGTACGTGACTTACATTGTGTTTTGTGGACATTTTGCTTGGCAGGCTGGTGGACTGGATTCACTTACACTACATAGTTTATATGATGATGCTGCATATAGAGCATCCCATCAACCAGCATATGGAGCGCCTGCGCCTAATCCATTTGAAGTTGCAGATCCGTTTGCTATGTCTAACACCGTTTCTCCTCCAGCAGTTCAAATGTCTCAAAATCAAACAAATCCTTTTGCTCCATTCCAACCTATTTATCCACAGCCACAACAGCAACAGCAACAACACTTATTGATGTCCCCACAAAATCCTTTCGGTGATACAGGGTTTGAAGCATTTCCTGTCGGTCCTGCTGCTCACCCTGAAACAAGCAATCCATTTGGGAGCACGGGTCTACTATGATAAAGTTATACATATACAGATAAGTTACACGGCTTAGTTGATCTTGGTATGTTTAAAATGAGTGAAGTAGTGAGTAGTGCATAATAGTTGATTTTCGGCCTTGAGATGTATGATGAATAAATAATGTTATTCATGAGTATTGGTTTGAATAGCAGTCAATGTGGCAGTGGGGACATTGCCGTATTGTCCAAATGAATAAAAACATACAATGTCCAACATCATTGGACAATGTGACAGTCGCTTCAGTATCACATAGACTGATATTCATCACCATGGTTGATGGATAGTGTTGCTCTGATTGAATCAGCAAAAAATTTCATTTGATATGCTCTGTGTTCATTGAAATGCTGAATTGCATCGTTCAATCGTACAAGTATTGTAACTGAGGTTACGTTCATGCTTTTGTTTTTGGCTTGATAGGATTCGGACGATCAATACCTGCTCGAACCCATTTTGACCTCACATTTTGCAGGTTGTCTAAATTGTCTTGGGTGGGTGCTGGTTTGACTTTGGTGCTTGCTAGATTCTTTGTTTTGGAAGCCTTTACTTTTCTCCAAATGTGTTATAACGCGTGACAACAAATGAGAATGAGGAAGCAAGGAAAGAGACATTTCACTTGAAACACGCCATATGTGAACCACAATACTGTACGTTCCCAAACTGCAGGATTTTAAATGAGATTCCCATCCTGTCTTTGTGGAGAGATTTTATAGCATTTTCTCATTACAATCACCCAGCATTTCCAGCCAGGTCCCTTAATATATTAAAATACAAGAAAAGGGTCAAAATTATGTTTATTTTGCTGGGAAATATAAATTAGGAAAATTTTGTTTGGTTCATGTTAAGTCGATTCATTACTCAACTTGAATAGCGTGATGGATGGGTCACTGAATTTGACATCCGTTGACTTTTTGCTTCAACGAGATTCAGTTGTCAATAGATTCCAACTCCTCATCCATTGATGTGTATCTTATTTGTACACTTTAATAATCATGTTAGACTGTATATTCTGTTGGGTTCGTCAATCGTGAAGCTCAAGTCAATCAGTGAATAACATTGGGAATGTGAGAGAGAGATGTCTGCACACTTGAACAATTATGAGTACATTGAGACTCGAATGTTTTTTCTATTATATCCTCCATGTCTATAAATTTTCGGAAACTTTTTGGTTGCACTAACTTTGGATTCGTGACAATACATATAAACACCACAAAAAGCTATATGGTACTTTGCATATGGTCAAAATCAAAGCTGGACTAAATAAGAATACTCTTCAAAATATCATAATTAAAAAAAAAAAAACCCTCAAATTTTGGAGTATAACTTAGACCATGCTTTGTACCAATTTGGTCAATATTTGTAACATTTCTTAATACAAGACCATAGACGATAGTCAAAAGTTCTTAAATAAATTTCTGTAGAACTTCAGGAAGGGAAATTTTCAAGAAAAAAACATTTTCAAGAAATGCATACGGAAGGTCACTTGCACTTTCAGATGCAAATAAATCTATATTCCAAGAAATAGAGTTAATTAATTATAGACAAATATTACTTTTGAAGAATAGTAAAATTTATACATAGATATGAACAAAAATGAAATAAATATAATCAGTTTTTAGTTGAGCAACTTTTCGGCCGCCCAATAATTTTGATTTTTGACAAAAGAACTTATTAAAAAATAGTCAACATTTTACGATTCAAAATAAAGTTTAGAAATTATCCAAACAATGTCTCATCACTCTAATCAGTCCTCACGTGATATTGGCCAATAAGTTTAAGTCAAACCTATACTATGGTCCCCGTTTGTTTCCTGTTAATGTAAGAATGATGAAAATATAGTTGTTATAGACACCACACAAGAAATAAAAATTCAAATACGATGACTTGATATGATAGATAACAATTATATTTTTCATTTTAATGGTTAAATAATGGGAAAGAAACGGGGGCTAAAGCCATGTTTGATTAATGTTTGTAAACTGTTTATTAATACTAATATAATTTTTTATTATCATATTTTGAAAACGGTTTTGCTACAATGACAATGACAGACTCAAAAACAAGGGGGACATATGTCAATAGATGATTTGTCTGTTTGTGGGAGAGGAAAAAAAAAGTAAAAAATAAAAATAAAAAAACATCTCACTCTTGTCAAAAGCCCCGTTTTCAAGTAGCATTATTTTTTTGCGTGACTAGCAAATACTATTATTCATAGCTATTTTTTAATGATTTATTTTTAATCAGTTTATAAACACTTTCTAAATATAGAAAAATAATTCTTTAATAAATTTCCCCCGTACCTGTGGGCCGTGGCATGTTTCTAATTATTTTCAAGGATAATGCCCAGACTTGCGAAAATGATAGTCATCCGGGGATATTCTACCAGAACGAAAGGATAGATAAGGGTATATTGTTCCAATTAAATGGCGGCCAAGAAATAAATTTAACGTGTATTAGTACTCTCAAAATTGAATTGTCACTACAATTCAAAGAGAAATGAAGAGAAATGCATCTAATTCAAGAATTATTTGATGGAGTTTCAACATGAATAAACCCAAGAGCTTTGTCCGAAACCTCATCAAATCCTTCATATCTTATACGAATAAAGGTAAAATTTTTGTGCTTACAATTGTCAGTGATATATACGTAATACCATTTGTTCCGTTTTTTGATTGTATCTTCACTTAATTTTACTTTTTTTTTGGGTTGTGGGATGTTACTGTTGATCGGGGAAAACGCAGAGGATTTGGAGAAAATTCCTGCAGAAGAACAAAAGCAATTTCCTTTCGAGATTCTTGTTGCTGCAACGAAAAACTTTCATCATACTCAAAAGCTTGGTGAAGGAGGCTTTGGCCCTGTTTATAAGGTAAAATTTAACTTGTGCGGTTTTGAAATTTTCCCAATCAAAGAAAAAAGGATACAAATTTTGACTTCTTATGGATTTGGTTGGAGTAAGAACTCATGAATTGATGAAATTATGCGAAAATTCTGAATAAAAACTTGATCTTGGGTACTGGGTATCTGGGATCTTATAGGGAAAATTAGACGATGGTAGACAAATAGCTGTAAAGAAGTTATCATGTAGCTCAGCTCAGGGAAAGAAAGAGTTTCAGAATGAGGTGAAATTGTTGGCATGTTTGCAACATAAAAATGTAGTGAATTTGCTTGGATACTGCGTGCACGGTGCAGAGAAGCTGCTTGTTTATGAGTACGTGGTCAATGAGAGCATTGACAAGATTCTTTTCAGTAAGTTCTGCAATGCTTATGAGATTTGCAATTTTTTAGTTCCTCTGATTATCCTTATCATGCCATAGCAATTGAACTGTATTATTAATGATTAGCCGAAAATCAATTGAGGTTTTGTTGTCATTTAACTTGAAATAGTATACCTTGGAAATATATGTGAATAGATAACTGTGTTGTAGCATCATTTACTTGTTCAGAGGCTAAAATTAGGTGATGTTAATGTTTATTGAATGGGGGTCAATGTGATTAGGACTTGCATTAGTGATTTGCTTAGTTATGCTCAGTGTTATGCCTGGAATTCATTGCTTTTGTTCATGTATGTGAGAATTAATGGTAGATCATTGTGATAACATAAGTTATTTTATTCATTTAATCCCTCTAATAAATAGAGGTTTTAATAGGACTACAAGAAGTAAAGATAAACATAAGCTCCTACTACAAGAATTAGAGATAAACACAAACACCTAATAAGATTTTATCTACATCCTATGAAAGGATAAAGAATCTTATATAATAGAAAAAATTATCTAATAATAAACATAATCAAGAAGATAGCCATAAAAGATAAAACTCTTTGCGTCAACAGTCCCCCTCAAGCTGGGACATAAATGTCTATCATTCCCAGCTTGTCAAGTAAGCTCTCAAAGATAGGTTTTGCCAAGCCCTTGGTCAACATATGAGCAACTTGTTGTGTTGTTGGGACATAAGCCATATAAATTGCACCACTTTTAATCTTCTCTTTCAAAAAATTTTGTCAACTTCAACATGTTTTGTCCGATCACGATGAACCGGATTATTAGCAATACTAATTGCAGCTTTATTATCACAAAATAATCTTATGGGGTCTGAATTTGGAAGATTCAATTCTTGAAGAAGTCTTCTAAGCCAAAGCAGTTCACAAGTCCCATTTGCTAAGGCACGAAACTTAGCTTCTGCACTACTTCTCGCCACCACAAATTGTTTCTTGCTCCTCCAAGTACCCAAATTCCCCCAAACCATGGTACAATATCCTGAAGTTGACTTCCTTTCATCAATAGAACCAGCCCAGTCAGCATCTGTATACCCCTCAATATATCTTTTATCAGTCTTACCAAAAAATAATCCCTTTCTTGGAGTAGCTTTCAAATACCTCAAAATCTTATAAACTGCTTCCAGATGTTCTTGATAAGGGTTGTGCATATATTGGCTTACCAAGCTCACGGCAAATGAGATATCTGGTCGTATATGGGCTAAGTAGATTAACTTTCCCACAAGTCGTTGGTAACTCCCCCTATCTACAAGATTAGAACCTTCCTTACTCAACTTCATATTTTGATTGATAGGAGTATAAGAAGGTTTACATCCAAGCATTCCAGTCTCTTTTAATAAGTCACGGACATATTTTTTCTGCGAAATAGATATCCCTCTTTTTTGAGCGAGCCACTTCCATACCTAAGAAGTATCTTAACCGACCAAGATCTTTTATTTCAAATTCCTTCCCAAGTATCTCCTTGAGCTTTGCTGATTCCTCCAAGTCATTTCCAGTAAGAATAATATCATCTACGTATACAATCAAGATTGAGATCTTACCACTCATGGAATGTTTAAAAAATAGTGTATGATCTGACTGACTTTGAGCATACCCATTATTCCTTACACACTTAGTAAAGCAATCAAACCAAGCTCTAGGAGATTGTTTGAGACCATACAGTGACTTCTTCAATTTACACACCCTATTCTTGTTTCTTTCTTCATACCCAGGAGGTAAATTCATATATACCTCTTCCTCCAGTTCTCCATTGAGGAAAGCATTCTTAGCATCCATTTGACAAAGCGGCCAGTCTAAGTTTGCTACCACATATAGCAGGACTCTAATGGTATTGAGTTTTGCTACTGGAGCAAATGTTTCATTATAATCCACACCAAGGGTTTGAGTAAACCCTTTTGTCACTAAACGAGCCTTGTATCTTTTCAAAGTTCCATCCGACTTGTACTTGATCGTGAATACCCATTTACATTCCACGGGTTTTTTTTCTTTAGGTAAATCCACAACTTCCCAAGTATTGTTTTTTCTTAAAGCTTGCATTTCTTCAACTACTACCTCTTTCCATTCTGGTTTCTGGATAGCTTGTTCAATAGTAGCAGGAACTTCTTCCCTTTCAATTCTCTCACTGATTGCACGGCATGAGGCTGATAACCTGCTATTTGATACAAAATTCCCAATAGGATGAAGAGTGCAGGTTCTGGTTTTCTTCCGAAGGGCTATAGGCATATTAAGTTCATTATTCTCAATGTCCACATCTTCAATTGAAACTGAATTCTCTTCCATCTCAGCTCTACGAGCTTCCTCGGTCAGATTTTCTCTCGGTTCAACATCTTGGCAATGCTTCAGTGATGTGACAGGATGTATTATTGGTGTAGACTGGTTTCTCCTAGAGTAAACGCGAAGCTCAGAACCACTTTCAACCTGTTGCGAGTCTGTACCTGTTTCCAATGATTTTGTTAATGGCATATTAGGTAAAGGAGATAATTTTGATGAAAGCATTGGCTGTGATGAAGGCGTTGGTTGTAGAGTATCTATAGATATTGGCAAGGTCTGATTTTGTGGTACATTCAACTCCCCAAGATTTGGCTGTGATGAAGGTGTTGGTTGTAGAGTATCTATAGATATTGGCAAGGGCTGATTTTGTGGTACATTCAACTCCCCAAGATAATCTTCCCCATTAGGTGTCTCTCCTTGAAGATTAGGTTTCTTATAGTATGATTGTTCCTCAAAGAATGTAACATCTCGTGTAACAAACAATTTTTTTAATGTTGGACTGTAGCACTTGTACCCTTTTTGATTAGGAGCATATCCTATAAAGATACATTTTGTAGCTCTGGCATCCAATTTACTTAAGTGTGATGTATGGACAAAGGAAGGACAACCAAATGTTCTAATAGGCAAGGAGGTAAAAAGTCGTGTTTGAGGATACAAATTTTGGAATGTTTGAAGTGGTGTTTGGTAACTAAGAATTCGTGAAGGAAGTCGATTGATAAGGTATGATGCCGTAAGGAGAACTTCCCCCCAAAAAATTTTTGGAATATTATTTGTAAACATGATTGCCCGAGTGACTTCTAGAAGGTGTCTATTTTTCTTTTTAGCAATTCCATTTTGTTGTGGAGTTCCTAAACAAGTGCTTTGATGAACTATGCCATTTTTTGACAGATATTGGCCCAGAATTGAATTGAAGTATTCAAGTCCATTATCGGTATGAAGAATTTGAATATGTGTTTGGAACAGTGTTTCGATCATTTTGTGGAAGTTTTGGAAGGCATTAGCAGTATCAGATTTTTCCTTTAATAGGAATGTCCAACATAGACGTGTGTGGTCATCAATGAATGTTACAAACCACTTAGCTCCTGTAATATTAGCAACTCTCGATGGTCCCCAAATATCACTATGTATTAGTTTAAAAGGTTGAGATGGTTTATAATTTTGAACAGGATATGGGACACGTGTTTGTTTTGCAATTTGACAAACTTTGCATTTAAACAAATCAACACTTCTATTTCGAAACAAGAGGGGGAATAATTTCTTTAAATAAGCAAAGCTAGGGTGTCATAATCTATTATGCCATAGCATAATTTTATTGAAAATAGGAATAGATTCACTGCTTGAAGTGAGAGCTTGTTTATTCATAGATTTTCCACCATAATTGAAGTAATACAGCCCGTCAACCTCTTCAGCATTGCCAATTGTCTTCCCCGAGATCAAATCCTGAAACTCACACCGAGAATTATAGAACTTAGCCACACAATTTAAATCCTTGGTTAATTTGCTTATTGAAACAAGGTTACATGTAAGCTTAGGAACATACAAGACAGAATGTAATTCTACACTGTCTGTCAAAACTATTTTGCCTTTTCCAGCAACTGAAGATAAAGTTCCATCAGCAATTCGCACTTTAAAGGCTCCCGGGCAAGGAGTATAAGTTTTAAATAAGTGGTGACATCTAGTCATATGATCCGATACCCCAGAGTTAAGTATCCATAGGTTGATCGAATCAGATTTTGTAATAAGTGCAGAATGATAATTACCTCGCTGTGCTAAAGTGCACTTCGATTTTGACTGGGAGTTGGATTGTGTTCGAGCCAGAAGTTGTTGTAATTCATCTATTTGCTCACTACTAAAGGCCGAACTGATGAAGTTAGAGGCAGAACTAGTGCCCTGTGTTTTCTCCTCTTTAGCTGTCTGAAAAACCTGATTATCACCCAACTTTCGTGGCTTCCAGTTTGCTGGTTTCCCATGTAATTTCCAGCAAGTATCTCGTTTGTGATTAGATTGTTGACAATAGTCACACCACAAGTTTTTTTTGTGGCCCCTTATGCCCCGCAAAATTGGACTTTTGATCTTTAAATCCCTAGTTCCTGTTGGCTATTAAAGCTGAATTCTACATCTGATTCTCCATACCAGATTCACAAACACCACCCATCATGACTCTTTTCTTGCTTTCTTCTCTTCTTACTTCAGCAAATGCCTCTTTAATGCTCGGCAATGGTTTAGCTCCAAGGATCCTCCCTCTTACTTCATCCAGGTCCTTTTTGAGCCTATGTAGAAAATCAAGTACCCTCTCCTTTTCAAGGTTCGTCCTGCTTTTCTGGCTACAGTTTGTACAGTTCTCAACATCTCCGAATAGATCTAGCTCCTGCCATAGCCCAGTCAAATTCGCAAAGTACTCTGTCACAAAAGAGGCACCTTGTTTCTGATCTTTCAAGGCTGATTTCAATTCGAACAACTGAGCTGAATTCCCGATATCTGAATACATGTCTTTCACTGTTTCTCAGATGTCTTTTGCAGTTTTGTAAGAAAGGTAATTCCGTCCAATCTTCTTCTCCATGGAATTAACCAACCATGCCATTACCATGGAGTTTTCAGATTCCCATGTTGAATAAGAGTTGTCATTTTCCGCAGGTGTAGGAATACTTCCTGTAAGGTATCCAACTTTCCCTTTGCCTCGAATGACCATAAGGACAGATTGTGACCAATCAAAGTAGTTTGACCATCAAGTTTATGTTGGGTTATTTGAAGTGAATGATTTTCGACACTGAACACTTGAGAAGGGGTCGAAGAAGTGGGTGCAGTGCTTTCTATGTTTGAGGATCCGGATGAACCAGTGAAGGCCCGGTTTGCCATTGAAGAGGTGGGCAAGAAAGAGCCAAACCGTAGCTCTGATACCATGTGAGAATTAATGGTAGATCATTGTGATAACATAAGTTATTTTATTCATTTAATCCCTCTAATATATAGAGGTTTTAATAGGATTACAAGAAGTAAAGATAAACATAAACTCCTACTACAAGAATTAGAGATAAACACAAATACCTAACAAGATTTTATCTACATCCTATGAAAGGATAAAGAATCTTATATAATAGAAAAAATTATCTAATAATAAACATAATCAAGAAGATAGCCATAAAAGATAAAACTCTTTGCGTCAACAATGTATAACTATGTTCCAGACTTGAGTTTTGCTTCTTTCAAAGTTTAAGTACAGAATGTCATACCACCATTTCTTTAACTTGGCTGGTGATGATGAAGTATGCTTTTCTTAATTTTGCTAAAAGCCACCAGTTTCTGAAGTCTGATGGTTTGAATTAAAAATCACTCTATTTTTAGATAAGGGCAGCGAGTAGTATTCTTTGAAGTACAGACACGCCTTTCAGGGTGGAGCGTCATGACTGGAAAGTTGCTAACACACCAAATGGTGTGTCATGTTTTTTCATAAATTTTTAAAATTCCAATATGCTGTGGACGCTTGCCCGACTCCGCGTGGCACGTCCTATATTATGTGTACTTTAAACACTACATGTGGAAAAATGCCAAAATAATGTGAGAAAATTTTGTACAAACTTTCATGTTAGATTTGTTTATATATGTTGATACATAAATATATAAAAATTAAAGATGAAAAAATATTAGCAATCTTATTGAAAGAGAAATTTTTAATAAATATACAATACAAGAATAATATCAAAATGTATAATTCTTAAGGTATTTTAATCCTCTGTGCCAAATTACTTGTGTCCTAATTTTTCGAAAAATTTCTTGTGAGCATGTGATATCAGTGTCTCGTGTCCATATCTGTGCTTCATAGGTAGTATTCATTCACTCTTGAAAGTTGAAACATATGCTACATGAAATGTGCATGTGTTGTGGCAGTTTGTTTCTTAATATTCTTAACATTACATAGGTCATCTTATAGTAAGCAAAACTAATAATAGTAAAATTTTCCAGTTGTATTTTCAGAGTTGTTTTCTTTAGAATGTAATCTATTTGCTAGAGCATTCCAAAATTTCTTTACAGGACAAGACTGAGGAGTAACATGTGATTGTACTTTCACGAACATAATATCTTATAGAATTGCGCCAAGACTACTATGAAATCTCATTTGGTAAAGTTTTATTAAAATGTTTTTGTACTTTCAAGGTCTCTATTCTCAAAGGAGTGTTAAAACAAAGTGAGAGCAAGTGGAGCGCAACAGAATTGATGATATCTTTACAATTACTTTGATTTAATTGTCTACCTTTCCATAAAAGTGGTACTTGCCACTTAGCTAAAGCAGTTTTACTGCTTGGTGTAAGAGAGAGGAAAATGTGTGAGTGTATGCATTGGGGGTGGCTTGGGATAAGAAAAAATGCATCCAAATTGTAACTGGTTCTAATCACCATGAAGTTCTCCATCTTGTGCAAATCTTGTCAAATTAGTTTTAGAAGTGCTTCACTTACTCTTTTGAAGATGTTATTTTTGTCCAATAATATAGAATATAAGTTTTTGACAAGTTGCAAACTTGAATTTGGAAAGTTGGTTTTCATTTATGGGGTCTTAAAAGTATTGAATACGCTTTAACAGCAGCATGTAATGTGGATATGAGATTTACAGTGATACTGATACTTGTTGGTGTTTTAGAATCTGGTAAACAAGAAGTACTTAATTGGAAGCCAAGGTTTGATATAATAATGGGCGTTGCGAAAGGCTTGCTTTACCTTCATGAAGATGCTCCCTTTTGCATCATACACCGTGACATCAAAGGCAGCAACATCCTACTTGATGATAGATGGGTTCCTAAGATTGCTGATTTTGGCATGGCTCGTCTTTATCCTGAAAATGAAACACATGTTAACACCCATATAGCTGGTACAAAGTATGTTTTCACGCACTTAAAATTTATAAGTTTAGTAGCCCCCAAGTTAATAACAATATCTGATTGCATGTTGCCAAATTGCTTAAGTAACAATAGTGCATTGATTTGGGAACAGCGGCTACATGGCACCAGAGTATTGTATGCATGGCCACCTTTCTGTGAAGGCAGACGTATTCAGCTTTGGGGTCGTGGTTTTGGAGCTGATAAGTGGACAGAAGAATTCAAGATTTAACCAAGATCCTGAGTCACAGAACCTGCTTGCATGGGTAAGAACCTTATTTTTCTTAGCTTGTATGTTGGCATCACTTTGCTAAATGAAATTATTGGGTGCATGCTATAACTTTGCCACCACGGGTATACAAAGAGTGGAGTGCCCTGCACTTTCTTGTTCTAAAGAGGCCATGCTAATTTGTTGCTATAAAGATCAAACAGATGAGTATCTTTAATATTCTTCTTCTTTTAGAATAATGAGAAGAATCTTACATCCTTGTTCTATTACTATATAGATTAGAGACATTAGGCGTATATGGTAGCAGTATTCATAAATCAAACATTAAAACTATTCCTGAGGATTTTGCTGTTTCTGTAGGCATACAAACTTTACAAGAATGGTCAGAGCTTGGATATTATGGATCCTACATTAGTGTCATCAGCAGTTCCTGATCAAATAGCAATGTGCATACAACTTGGGTTGTTGTGCACCCAATATGATCCACAATTGCGGCCCGACATGTGTCGTGTGGTGGTGATACTATCGAGGAAGCCAACCACCCTTGAAGAACCGGAAGGACCTGAATACCCCAGTTTTCGATACAGTAATCATAAACCAACTGCATCATCATCATCCACAACTGGAACTTCTGGTGATTTGAATTCTCATTCCTTTGGCTCTACGATTAATACAAAGAGTGCCACAGCTACCGCTAGCACATCGGGTCTCAATATCCCCATATACGATCGTCACGGTAAACGCCTTGTACAAGATTAGGCTTCTAGGTATAGAAGAATATTCTTTCACGTGTGTGTAATTTTGCATTATTTTGATAACATTGCTAACTCAGATAGCGGTTTTCAACAATTCAGTTGGACAAAAATCAGCAAAAACTCCCTCTGAAACCCAGAAGCTAACTACTTTTAGGAGATGCATAATTGATTGTATTAATCTCGTTAGCTTCAATTGCATTTGGCTTTTCACTGTCATTTGTTGTTGGATACATTACCTAGGGTTTGTTTTGCGCCCCTTATTTTTGTGGAAAATACGTTTTGTAATAGTAATTTTTTTGGAGAATGTGATTAAGTAGAAAAAAGTTTTAGAACATTACTTGTAATGTTGTAATGTTCTGCTTTGCAAGGGTTCTTTCTTGTGCACTCTCCTACTTGCCATTTTTACTAGGTATTACTATAATGATTAGTTGATTTTTCCCCCTGAAAGAAAAGGAAGGAAAACCCAAGCTCAAAACAAACAAAAATAAAAGTAAAACAAATATTTCAAATAAATTTAAAATTAAGCAACATCAATATAAATATAAAAAACTCCCAACATCATCACTAAAAACTAGTTCGCTTAAAATAGCAAGTGTACTATGTCAATGACAATTTGTGATGTGGATTACACACCACAACCATCGTCTCGTGTTACTCTTATGAGCATCTGATTGCTTTCATATACGTTTCATCTTTGATGTGAAAATAAATTCACTTATTTACAAAAATGGAGATAATTCGGTTTGAATCGGGATTTATTTTTTAAAATTAAATCAATCAACATAACATATTATATGAATAATAAAACTAAAATATAAGTTTTGAAAGGAACTCAACCTGATCACCAACTAAAGATACAACTAAAATTTATGTGATTTAGATATGCTCTTTGTGATTATTCGCCAAGTGTAATGTCTCTCTAATTCATATTGCTTTTGAATCTTGTTTTCCCATATGCTACCAATTCAATGTTCATAAAATTTGTTGGAAAATATAGCAGAAAGAATTTCCAGAGAAGATTGATGTAATGAATAGAGAATGAAGTTTGCTGTGGAAGATAATTTATTTCATTGATACGAGCTGATTAAATACAGAAAAAGATCATGTTTACATATATTTTTGCATAAAAATCTTAACAACTAAACAGTTTTATTTGCTAAGGATACCTGAATTTAAGGAACCAACTACTATTGACTCAGTAAACGAAATAATTTCAAAATAAATTAATAAAAACATAAACTTAATCATCTATTCCATAAATCAGCTACCTAAAGTCTCAGCAATTCAATACTCCTCCTTAGTCTTTTCTTTGAAACTACCAACTTACATCTTAATTCCTCGAACCTGCTCTTGGAAAGTGACTTTGTAAGGATATCTGCGATCTGCATCCTAGACTTACAATGCAGCAACTTAATCTCTTGATTCTTTTCTGTTTTTCCAATGGAATGATATTTAACTTTAATGTGTTTCGTTCTTCCATGCTGGATAGGATTATTCACAATAGCAATTGCAAATATGTTGTCACACATGATAACAACAGGCTGAACTTGCTCTTCTCCAAAATCAGTCACTGATTTTCGAAGCCAAATTGCTTGCTTTTTGGCAGCAATAGCAAACACATACTCAGCCTCAACAGTTGATTGAACCACCACATTCTTTTTTGAGTTCCATGAGAAGGGACCTGACAACATTCACAAAGATCATTAGTCACGTAAATAAAAGACATATCTATCACCATACCATTATCTTCCATAAACTTCAAGGATTTCTGCTTATAGTGTCCAAACCTTCTATGCCACAACCAAGTTTTATCAGTTTTGGCACTACAAACATGTTGTTTAGCCATATTGAAATCCAAAAGAAATCTGTCATCTATCATTCCAACATTTGCAATTTTATAACCATGAGGATCATAAATAATGCACATATTATTTTTGAAATTCATAGAATATTCCTTACTCAACATTTTAGCCACACTCAACAGGTTTTGATCTAGGCAAGGGGCATAAAAACAATCATAAATGAGCTTGCTGCCTCCTTTAGTATGAAAGGTGACAATGCCCTTACCTTCCGACTGCATAAGTTCTCCATTTCCCAATTTTACTTTAACTTTGTAGGATCTGCCCAGTGAATTGAACATGCTTACATCACCCGTCATGTAGCTTGTAAAACCACTATCAACTAGCCAAATGTTGGCTCCTAGTGGTTGAGAAGATTTGTTGGCCATAAATAACCTTTCCTTAGGTTGCAATTGATCCTGAGTGTGGTTTGCTTGCTTTGTAGGTTGTTCTTTTGCTTGTCCCATGTTGAATCTGCTAAACTTTTCGATGTGCCCATATCTCTTGCAATTTCTATATTGGTACTGAGGTTTATCCTTATGCCAGCAATCTTTCTCCAGATGGTTCGTTCTTCCATAAGCTCTATAGGTGGAAACTTACCTTTTTTGTGAACTTCTTTTGAGCTTTCAGGAGCTTTATCTTTACTCTGCCCGTCACAGGCAGATTTATTCCCATCATTTTTCTTGCCTTTGTGCTTCATGATAAATGCTCTTTCAATGTTTTCTTCTGACCTCATAGAAGACCTTTGCTCCCGTGCTTGCATCTTGCTAGTAAGTTCAGTAATTGTCAAATTTTTTAGATCACAAGACTCTTCAATTGCTGAAATCTTGGATTCAAATTTGTCGGGCAAGCTTATCAACATTTTTTCCACCACCTTTGAGTCTTCAAATGATTCACAAGTTGCAAGAGTTTTGAAAAGTATTCCTTTTCTGTCTCTCCGTCCTTCATTCTCAGCACTTTAAACTCTCTTTTGAGAGTTAACATCTTGATAGATTTTACCCTGTCACTTTATTCAAACTTTTCCTTCTATTTATCCCATGTTTGTTTTAGTAAATCACAAGTCATTATTCTTGTGAAAATTACATCTGACACTGCTGAGTGTATGCACGTAAGTGCTCTAGGTCTCCTTGAAAGATTTTCTTTGTACTTCATGATCTATGCCAATATTGGATTTTGTGGAAGAGAAGCAGGATAAACATCATTTTCAATAGCCTCCAACAAATTCATGGCCTTTAAGTAGGTCTTCATCTTAATAGCCCATAATTGATAATTCTCTCATGTAAAGCCATTCTGAAAAATTTGGAGGCTCTCAAAATTCACTAGTGTTTTAACTCCCTTGTATTTAGCTCATACATTCAATAGAAAATGAAACTCACAGCCCTTAAGAAGAACGCTCTGATACCAATTGTAGGAAAAAATAGCAGAAAGTGATTCTAGAAAAGATTGTTGTAATAAGCAGATAATAAAGCTTGCTGTGGAAGATAATTTATTTCATTAATACGAGATGATTAAATACAAAAAAAAAAAAAAGATCATGTTTACAGATGTTTCCATATAAAAATCTTAACAACTAACAGTTTTTCTTGCTACCGATATTCCTAAATTTTAGGAACCAACTACTATTGACTCAGTAAACAAAATTAAAAATAAATTAAAGAAAACATAAACTTAATCAGCTATTCCATGAAATTAGCTACCTAAAGTCTCAACAATTCAACAAAATTAAATAGTTATTGCTAGTTAAGAAATTGCATGACGAAATATGAATTCTATAAGTTTCATTTTTATAGAGTCCTCAGACATTTCGCTTTCAATTAATTATTAGATGTGTTTGAGGACTTTTATATAAAATGCCTAAACTATTTTGACCAAGTTAAATTTTCAATGAATTAAGTTGAATAATCCAAAAAGAGATGCTAGATCATGTCCTTTATGAGGAGATAGAGTAGCAAATGCAAAGGAAAAATTGTACTGTTAAAACATTTTTTTTTATGGTATTTTGTCACTAAATACAAAATAATAATAATAATAATAATAATAATAATAATAATAATAATAATAATAATAATAATAATAAATAAATAAAGAAAATTGATTTTAAAAGTTGTTATTGGGGGTGGACCCAAAATTATTTTTCAATAGGGCAAGACGAAAAATTAGCTAAAATAAATTGTGAAAAAAGCCATAAAAATCTGAAAATTTAAATTTAACAAGGTCGAATTGAAGGTTTTTGAAAATTCAGTGGAGGCGGTTGACCCCATCTTCCCTTAGTGGACCCGCCCTTTTTTGTTATATGTTTTTATTATTTTCAACAACTTTGCATAGAAAGTTCTGAGTAGTAAACATTTTCTTGTTCATTAAATACATACCGACAATAATTATAGAGCACATAAATGTATTCCCTAAACAAAGTGTAAGTCGATTTACAATTATGAAGGATAAAAAGAAAGAAATATAACAAGGGCTGTGCTTAATGTACAGGTAGGGCCGTAGGGGTTCTGTGAACCCCTAACCCCTACCGAACACACACAACATAGGTGGGGTGGGTGGGGGGTTTGGGCATTTTTTATACAAACGGGACCTGTGAGTGTGTGTAGGGGTTTTGCTATACACTCATCATTGTCCATATAACAAATGAAGAGCACATGCCCCCCAGGGCACATTCAAGTTGGCGGAACAATCACATTGGGGGGCTCTGGAACCAAGTGTGGGGAGTTCGATTCCTAGTTGGAGCAGCCAAGTGATGTAATAACCAGAGGAAGGGTTGGAGCAGCTTGGTGATGTAATAACCATGGAGGAGGGTCCCTTTGGGAAAGGAGTAAAAGCCATGTGGGAACCTGGGAACCAACAAGGGCATAACTTGCGATTTACCTCCACTAGTCACTGAGGGGCCGGGGGCTAGAGGTCCAGGATTTAGTCCGGCTAAGCTGGGACACCTGGGTTATCACAAAA